GGGAGGGTTGATAGTGGTACATTGGAGACCTCCCATGCTCCAAGCAAAATCAAGTTTTAGAATGGCTTTAAAACTCGAGATAAATGACTTCTGAAATAAATTAAGGTATAGGTTGCACCACAACTGGTTTACAGTAGGGTACTTCATTCATGAGAGGTAGTTTTTCAGCTGTGAAATATTGAATTCATTTTAATGTGCTCTAAGTGAGTATTATTAATAATTCCTTTCTTCTTAGAGCAAAGACAAGAAAAAGAGAAAGAAGAAGAAGAAGAGAAAGAAGAAAATTGAGGTGAGTCTGGTTATTAATGTCTAACATAAAGACTCTTGTGCAGTTATGATCAGTAGAAATGGCGTCTTACAGAAGTGCAGTTATAAAGTTGTATTCTCACAGAGCTTCACTCCACTTAGCTTTATCCAATTCATAAGCTGACAAAGTGCTTGGGGTAACTTGAAAAAGATACTGTTAAGTAACCCTCCCCTCTGGTAGGCACAGAGAACAGTAATGTTTCTAATTAATATGTGATGTTCCAGCTAGCCTAATAAAGCTCTGGACTGACTTACCATACTCTCAAACTTAATGCAGGTGCAGCAGCTCTCGTGGGTGTCTGTTGATAAAAAAAATTAAGCTGCAAAATTGTTTGAACCTATCTGACTGTTTTGTTTTTCTCTCTCAATTTTTGTGATTGAATGTAGTTTGTTCAGGAGCAGCCACTTGATGTGGAAGAAACAGATGATGTTGAGGTGGAATATGTCACAGAGTCAATCAGTCCACTGGATCCTAACTATAGAGCATTTGCCAAGATTTTTGAAGCATTTAAGGTATTGTCTAATTTGTTTGGCTACAATATCTAATATTAGTATTTTCCCATTGCTGTTCAAGCCATGAATGTTTCTAGTCCCCTGTGATGTTCCAGTGGCTACTAAGTGGCAGGAGAAACCCAGACCTGTCTAATTACCGGGGCAAGTAAATTTTGCTCTTAGGCAGGTAAAAGTGGAAGTTTGGTGGTCCGGTGGGAAAGTGAAGTTAGCCTCAGTAGTCTTGTTAGTGCTAATTTCCAATCAAAATCAATTTCAAACCTCAAGACTGCAAGATGAACAAAACAATGAGTTGAAAGCATGGATTAATTTAGAATCCAAGTATACTTTGCTTGCATTTGT